ATTTTAGATATATACGAAGGGAACGCGCGTTCCGCCCTCCTCTCCCCCTTTATTAGCGATAGAGTTATGCCGCACAATGTCGAGAGCTAACAAACGAATCGGAAAAAGCAAGCTACGGTAATAAACAAAGCGCAGCGCGATAAATTGTACGAACGTAATTAATTGTACGAGCGGATTTAATTAAAAGAAGCGACTGGACGAATGTTATAATTTTAACAAGTCACTCTGTTTACGCAATTCTGTTTAATCGCGAATCGTTATTTATGTTCGGTCTAGAATCTGTGTGACAGCTACTTATTGAAATATTAATCGCAATTTCCGCTGAAAGCAGGAAATTACCGCCGTTCTTAGCGCATGCGTCCGATTGCGACGCTTAATCGGTACAAAATCCGACCGCCCACCCATCCCTCCCCGGTGTTTTCTACGAATACATCGTAATTACCAATTACAAGTAGCGACTAATTACGAGTAATTACGAGAAAACGCCGCGCCCGTAGGCGACTGGGCTGTTCTTCTAATTAGATATCGGCGCAGGCGTCGCGCGATGCCGTTGTCGCATTCCTGGCAACGACGCCGGTCGATTCGCGCTCGCCCCCACGCGATTCACCGATTGCTAATTAATTGGCGTACTAATTACGGCGACGTGACTTCGACACTCGCTTCGCCGTTTGCCATGGAAATGCCACAGCCTCCTCCCCGATGCATTATGCGTGTCGACGCATTGCGGCGACGGTATACCGCGACGTCCCGCAAATTTTATTTAATTCTGATAATGGGTTATGTAAAGAGTGCACTTAAAGTTCTTAAGTGGTTGTCGGTCGGTATTTATAGCACGGAAAACTCTTCAATTATGTATCTAAGCCAAAATTTTATTACAGATTTTACTCGAAAAGGTTATGTATTTCCTTTAAAAGGATCGCATAATAAAGTGAAATGCCATCTTGTACGTCAAATAAATTTAATGAAGATAATGAGCTTTTCTCAATCAGGGAGGATTATAAATAATACTTCCAAATTCCCATCTGTAATGCCACCCCCAAAATGGACGTACATGAACTAATTGCTCCGCGGATATCCCATATACCTATACGGTTTAATTGCTCCAACTGCAGCAGCAACAGAACCGTTCTCAGAACTTGCTATCAAGTGAGAACCTGCTTAAAGAAGTTACTCCTCCCTTCCGTTCGTATCTGCAAGGGATGCGGCGATATAGCGCTTGTCTTAAGCGCCGACGGTGCGATTTAATAAAATGGAGTTTCATATTACGACGCCTTAATAACTATTAATTTCCATCTCTTTAACCCTGTAAATTAATGAATATTTTACGAGAATTTATGGTTTCGTATGAGCTTGCCTATCAATAATCCTTGAAAAGCTAAAGAAAATTGCATTACATTCTTAGAAAAGTAAATATGAGATTGAACGATTTCTTTTGTTGTTTGTCCTACTGTCGTCCTGCAATTTGTCTTATTAGGAAAATAAACTTCGGAGTAATTACAATAATAACAAGAAACAATATCAGCAAATCGGTATCGCGCAAATGTCACGGGTCAAGAGATAGCCGATGGTCGAACAATTTAAAAATACCACTCGGAGAGAAAAGTCTGACAAAACACAAGTGGCGAGTGTATGTTTGAAGACGGAGAACTGATGTTATTCTATTTATTCTATTGTACATTTTTTTTCTCTACGATAACGACGCCGATCGATAATCTGGATTTCCTGCTAACAAAAGAGCTTGAAAGCCTCTCACGGATGTATGCAATTGCAAATATTTGATTTGTAACGGTGCAATGTTTGAACAGTGGGCGTAAAAAAATAGAAAAACGCGAAACGTGTCGCGGACAACGTGGCGCTAATAATTTTCCTTTGCAATTTTTTTTACAAAACTCAATAAATTATCCCGCATGCGTGTAGGAAAACAGTTTGCTGGCACAGCATATTTTATACGATAATAGCAAATATCGTTGCTCATTATGCAAAAAGGTTTCTGAGATTCTCCAATGAACGAGAATGCCGTTGGTAAAGGTATGTATATCCACCATTATTTATCTTTCAATATTTTCAAATAGCTGTGGATAATTTATCAATTTTGCATTAAATTTAACTGATGTTGTATGCATACGTTATCAGACAATTATTATATTGAAGTTAATTTTCACGACAGTCCAAATATACATCCAGTTAATACTCTCTTTGATATTTTTCTATTATGCAATTATTTTCACAGATGACGCTAATGCGCTAACAGATGCAAATTACACAATCACATCTGTGTGTTAATTAATACGTCTGAATCAGCTTTGTGCTTGGAGATTCCCAACTATGTACAAGCTCTCGAATTTCATAACTATACGTACTCGTACTTGTCTGTATATACGTGGCGATACTTCGGTATAGCCATTCCACGAGATAAAAATATTCTGGAATTATTATTCAAACGTTTCATAACGTCGCAATTTAAAATTATAAATTGTTATTAACGCATAAAAAATGCTGTTCCAACAAACTGTTTTCCACACGTGTCATGCGAAATAATTTATTGAGTTTTATAAAAAAAATAAAAAAACGCAAGTTAAATTAATTACTTTTAAAATAAATTCTATAATTTTATATCTAGATAATTCTCTTCAAAGAGAAGTACGGTATCTCGATATATTGCAGACGAGCAGGTATGCTGAAAAAGAAAAATATCACGTCGATTTCGAAGAAAAAAAGTTTGTCCCGTTCAACAAATCCATTACTCGCGTACTGCACGTTTCCGGGTGAAACGGAAAACTTTCCGCGATGCAAATTGACGTTGATTCGTACGTGTCGGATGGCCGGTCCTCAAAAATTGAGAGCTCCCCGCATAGGATAACCATTTGCATGTTGGTATTGTAACGGTGCGCTGTTGCTACAATCGCCATGACGGTTTCGTGCCGTTACGCGGTGCAGTTTCACGGTTGTAATCGAAATGGTTGCACCTCGGGGAACCGTGCGGTTTTCGTCGCGCGCTGTTTGTACGATCTTCCGCGGGGGCGTATTATGCGCCAGCCAAAAACCACAGACGACGAACTTGGCGGACCCGGTCATGATTAAACCAGTATTAAACCCGAGTTCCGGAACGCGCGGCTACGCCGGAACGGCGACGACGTCGAAGTGCTCGTGTAACAACAAACTTCGGCTATGAACTCTACGAATCTGCCAAGTGCATTTGCGATTTGCCTGGACGATTCCTTCTCGGAACGCGGGTTTCGCTACTGAAGGATCAGCGATCGCGCTTAATGCTCCAAATCGAACCTCTGTGCTGCGACGTCTTCTCCCTCTTAAAAATCAATGATACGAATCGGTTAATTCGTTTCCGTTACCACCTCGATGCTGCAAACGTGATTTATTAATAAAAATTTGAAGCGACCAAGTCGATTCGGCGAGAGAGGTATTCTTGTCTGCTGACATTTACGGAAAAGTCAAAGTTCGGACGGCGTCGAGAGATTCGCTCTAAATTTGGGTATATTGTCCATCGTCGGGAGAATTAACTATTGCTAAATTTATAGCCAGGCAGATTTTCCATGGGAATAGGCGGTAACGTTCCTATTTACCCGTTGAATTTCGGCCAGTTCGCGATTGATCGCGATCAACTGACGAGTTAACCGCGCTAAATCCCATGGGAAACGGCCGTACAGGTCAACCTGTAAATCCGTACGCAATGAAGACCGCGAAATTTACGGTGGGTACGTGCAGGCACGTCCCAGTATAAAATCGTCTCGCCGGAACTTTCGAAACGACCGATTTCCCGCAATCGCATAGAAATATTTAAAGTTTCGAGCACCGGAACGTTCGAAAAATAAATAGCGACCAGCTGAATTTTCAATAGAAAAAAAAAGAAAAACTTTCATGCGCACGAAAAAAATACATGGCTACAAAAAAATGCGCGAATTCCGATACACTTCGTACGCTAAAATCATGCGTTATTTCTTATTATTTTTAGAGAAAAATTGATTAGCATAAATTGAATAAAACACTTTTGAGCAGCGAGCGACTTGGGAATTAATTGTTAGCACGCTAATGATATTCGGGGCTTCGAATGTTGTTCACATTTAATTACTCCTTTGTTCAAGATTTACAATTATCTCGATCTGATCTTGTACATGTTATACGAGGTGGCAGAAATTTTTAGCTGCTCCCACGGCCTGCCTTAATTTCGCAACTTTTTGTCTTCCTCTCTTTCTCTCCGCTTCTGTATTCTTACGTGGAATGGATCGCGTAGATCACGATCTTTATTTTTTCCCGGTTTTCGCCTCTCTTCTCTGTTGCGTCTCGTAAACATCGCGATCGAATGCGAGGATGCACTCTCGCAAAAATTCACACTATTACTCGAACGATACAACGCCTAAAATTCTCTCTATCCTTCATTCCTTTTATAACTGTCAACTCCGTTAACGATGACAAGATTTTAATTAGGAGTCAACTTCACATACCCTCGGCTGATCAAAGCACGGAATTTATGTTAGGTTCGGATATTAATCCGGAATAGGCAATAAGTCTGACCGCAGACGGGTCGTCCGATGACATTCCGCGACGGTTTAAAACCCATTAGGGTCACGATGGATTAAGAGGAAGTGACCAGAGTCCATTTAGCGCGTGTCCAATCGATTGCTGACTACTCTAATAACCGCGATGGAAATTGACTTACCGACAGCCCTCTCCTGCGCCACCTCTCCACGCCCCTCTCCTTCCAGTCAGCGATCCCTTATTACATATGAGCATACAATAAAAGTATGTGCACGAAAGGCGCAGTAAAAGTATGCACTCGCGTTTCGTGGAATAGCCAAATTTTTTTTCTCAAGTTTCACTGAAATTTTATTTCAGCGACTATTCCGGATACGAAAGGCGCGTTCTCTCTCTCTCTCTCTCTCTCTCTCTCTCTCTCTCTCTCTCTCTCTCTCTCACAAAATATATGGATTCCTTGAAACAAAAGTTTCCAAAGGTTTCATTGTGTAAATTATTTGACAGCCAGGTATTATTTAAAAATATATATTTTCTGTACAATTCTTTTTATGGCAGCGTAACACATATATTTTGTATTATATATATAACTATAAATATATTTTCTTTTATTACAATATTTTGACATATTTGACAAAAATTACATACCGACGACGAATATGCGTCGCTATATACATTTTTATTTTTAAATGTGCTCCATACTTGGCTAACTGTTAATTAAAGGAAAGTTTTTGGGATATCTATCGAGCTCACGTGGAAAACGTGGAGAGAAAGGAGCGAAAAGGACGAGGCGCAAAAGAGGAGGCCGGTTAATACCTTCGGAACTCTGCTAACAAATTGCGGAAACGAGTTCGGATTACTATCGACGATTTTCCTGAAACTTCCTGAGCGGCGTATCTAATCGAAATCGTTATAGAGAGTTAGGATATCAACGGGATTCATTGTGAAATTTATTCGTATTAAACATAACGTCAATATATGTCAATTATATAGTCGAACCGTTTTTCATAAAAAAAATATGACTTTGTAAATATAAAACACTTGCGAGATGAATACGCATGACGAAATGAAAATGGCAAACATTCTCTCAGATCTCGATTCTTTGAAAATACTTCTTTTTTTTTTTTAAGTATCTTTGCGCAAAAATTTGCAGTTGTAAAGCTGGATGTAATGCGATACACCCGTTAATTAGATGATCTCTAAAAACTCTCACAGATTTGATGCGTTATATTAAAATAATATATTTTTGTCTTACAATAAAAAATATATTAATTTTCCATACGTATATTTGCAAGAATTGCATTTTGCATGTAATGTCATTAAATAATATGCGATATGTAGCTGTGCCAGCGTTTATAAAAAAAAAAAAAAAGCGAAAAGGTTTATCCAAGTCTTTTCCATACGAAAAGATAATGAAGTTTGTAAAATATTTCCTTCATATAACAAATTATGAATGTTCCAATTTTTTTTTCGTTATCTTAATCGCGGTATTATCCTAATTGCGTAAAAACGATGGCACGTTAGGAGAGAATATGTCACGAGGATTGATTTCCGTGGTGGGAAGGTTCCGAGGGAGGTTTTCTCGGTAGCATTGTAAAGAGATCTAACTGAAGGGTCCGTGGAATGTCGAGGAGGAAAGCCTGCGAATCGTACCTAATACAGTTTTTAATTACTCTTAGTGACAATTGCTGGAGAGTGAACATCGGTAGGACGATGTACACGTTGGTCCTCTCGATTCTTTGCGGCCCGCGTAATGATGGTCCGAACCGATGGTCTCGCGAATCGCCACAATTATTGATAAACCATGGCATCGGAAAGAAAACATCGCGTCGGTTCGCCAAGTACCTGTTTCGTTTCGCCCTAGTCATTAATCCGTCCACCCACAAAGTCGATATTTAGAAGAAAAATATTTCTTATAATTTGTAGATAAAGAATGCCGGATAGAGTACCTTTACTAGTCTCATTACGACAATCTCTGTTAGAAATACTAATGGATGTGGAACTCACGAAAATGTTAACCTTATTGACAAAACAATTTGTGTAATTAGGCACGTATAAGATAATTTAGCTAATATAGAAATGGGTAATATTATATCCGCTTTTTAGCATTTTAAGAATCAAACTGCGACAATATAAGAGTTGATTTTGTCTCAAGGCAATAGACTTCACATCTTTTTACGTCCATTATTGACACCATTGCAAAATTATAATTATCCATAATTCGTCAGAAATATTTTATTGCTGATGTAACGATCGGCAAGGAAACGATTACTGTCATTGCACATACCTGACGCCCGTTTCTTTATTGACGAAAATCCACGGATGCGTATGAAACGTGTTTATTTCTCTGTTGTCCCCAGGTGACAGATTGCCATAATTAACTGCCTGCCCTTGATAATCCATCCAGTATAAAGTTATAGTATGAGGCGTCGTGTTAATAAATCTGACGTAGGATTCGTGATGACTGTTGAGCGATCGATATATCGGACTTCCCTGTTGATTTTCACCCATTTTGCGATTTTTATCCGTCCGCTTCCTCTTCTTACTTTCGTACTCGTAATGGAATTTCGAGTCTTTACTAATCTCTCTTTCTTCTTTCGCCACGAGAACTGGAATTAAAGATTATGAAAGGAAGTTAATTAAACGACGGCATTGCACATTCGAGAGCTCGATAAATATAAATAAATCGTTTTATCTAAATCCTTGTTGTGTGAAATATTAATTCTGTCATTTACATTCTTTTTTCTGTCTTTACAAACAAACTGTATAATAAAATATATTACAAATATGTATATAATAAAATATGTTACAAATAGATTAATTTCTTTATATCATAAAAAAATGGGCTTTCTAGTTTGGCAAACAGAATTATTTTTTTAATCGCTGTGTTTTTCGTTTCTCGGATAAAAAAAAATAGCGTATCGATGACCAATAATCTCCTTAAAACTTCGATTTGCCTTTCAACATTTTCGACAGACCGAATTAAATCCCCGGGAGAGATGATACAAAATACACGAAAATCTGTATCGTCACAGTTAAACAAGTCTATATACATCTGTGAAAATCGATTTATTAAGCACGGTTGCATTGCTGAATTTGAGAAATGAAAAAGAGAGGTAAGAAAAATCGATTGCATCGTAAGAATTCACGCAAGTTAAATCCGTATAAGATATTCCGACGATGACTCGCGTAGTATTGAAAGAATCTAACAAACTTAAGTCCAAGTAAATATATACATGTTAGATAAAACTGATAAAACAACATAAGTCAATAACAGCTATCAATTTCAAATGACAAAAATAAAAACTTTTTTTTTAATTTTCGAAGCTGGATAAATTTCATAAGCCATCGCGATTTACATTATATATATGAAATAAAATAAATTCGTAATAATGACATCGAAAATCCGCTTACAACGCACGCGACATTAAATCCGCTTAGAGAACGCGCAAGAACTAATTAGTTGCGCGAATGATTAGCTGCGACAACGAACGCGAGAGCGGAGAATCGAGTGAAGCATTTGCGATTTCAGCGGAGTTCCGAAGAGTCTCAAAGAGCTTCTAGAGACGATTACAAAGAGAGAGAGTTAGAGAGGAAGAGAGAGAGAGACAGAGAATGGCGCATTTTCCGGGATTGTAAACAGACGAACACAGACGTGTTCCCATCTGCTGTAACTTGCATTTTCGCCCTTCGGCGTTCCGTAAAATCAAGCAATGCGTTAGAGACGATCCGCGCTCTCGATGGCTTACAAAATAGCGAAACAATGCCGACAAACGTCGAAACTCCATTACGGCTTTTTGCAGAGGCAAGTGGCGGCGGACCAGACAGTAGGTATATGCGAGCAAAATTTTCTGATACATATTATGTACGAACTTTTGTGCGTGCGCGATTGTGCATTCTCATCGTGTTTCGCGCGACTTCTGAAATTAACTCCTCGGTTGAGGAAACCTTAAAAAACGTTAATAATTTTATGGCAATTAACATCTTTTACATAAAGAAACTTAACGCGTATAGAATCAAGTCGTCTTAACTTGCGCATAATATCGATCTCCGTTTCATCAGATAGTCGATTTATCAAAACGATTTCTTATACTGATGTGTATAATACCACAGCGACTTAACGGCGACTTAACGACATTATCGATGAGAAAAATGGTGAATGCTTCGGTGGTCAAAGTTCAACAAAAGCACCAATAGGAAGGAAAAGTTCTCCAAGTTTTGTCGGTTTTCGGAAATTGGTTCGCGATTCGAAATGTGACGCGCCGTAGGCAGAATTAGCGACGACAGGGAGAGCGAGATTTACGTCCGCGGAGAGAGTTCCGGCAATAAGAAGTTATTCCGTATATCTTGCGAGATTTTCGTGACGACTCTTTCTCGCGGGATACGAAGTTTCGGCGGAAGTTTCATCCGTACCTGAATTCGAAAATTATGCCTGTATATCATAAAGGTAATCGCGTCTCAACCATCTTATTTCACCGGATCAATTTCATATGTGTGTATGCGCACGTAAAATATAAATCAGCAATTAATGAATATACTCAAAAAATAAATAATTTTTACTAAAATAAAATCTCAAGCTTCCCCAGCTTAACATTTTACGTCAATGTAAATTTATATTGAGTGGATGGCATTACCTTTAAATTTTTATTAGATATTTGAAATATTGAAGTTTGAATTCAATTTTAAAATTTAAATATTACAGTATCCCGAACACAGAATACTTTTGTCAGATTAAGGACAATCAAGAATCTTATTCATAAAAAGTAAGAATGTAGTTACAGAGGCATTAATTTATTACTAATGATTATAATAATATGAGCTGACATTAGTTAGCGCAGCCATTGTTTTTTCCGAAACGGTTGGAGCCAAAAAATTGGGATTTGCGCGATTAATTAGCCAGTAAACAAGTAATTTCTACGCAAATCCCATTCGATTGTGTTGAAATGGCTGCGAGAACTTTAATCTCAAAGCTAGCGCAGCCATTGTTTTTCGCGAATTGTTTTTTTTTTATAGGACCATTCTATACATTTTTTTTTGTATGAGAGCGTCCAGCTTGCCATTAAGCTGGCCCTCTCTCTCTCACTTTTTACCTGATTTTCTGCTAAATGGCTGGGATAACAAAAGTCGGACTAGAGCAACAAATTAGTAACAAAATAGCATTAAATTTCTAACTAGGTCCAAACTTAATTTACGATGGTAGTTTAGCTTAATAGAAGTGCTACATTACCCGTATTAATTTAACATCATAATTCCTCTCATGACTCGCGAATAATATTGAGATATCGTATTTTGAAGTACAGAAGTAGGACGACTGGAATTCTTCATTGAGGTACTGGTTGAATTTATATTTTATCGTCGGCACGCGAATCTACCGCAAAAATTTTGTAACAACTAAATTACTCCGCCGGGAGAAAATATTTCTGCGAGAGCTGTGGAGGCCTTCGTGCGCGGCGTTGTGAAATTTTCCGGGGGACTCTCAAAAGCGAAAATAGCGTTCATGCAGGAATCCGAACACGGCGACGCCAAACATACTGTAAAAGCGTAAAAAAGGGGGGAAAACGAACCAAGCGAGGCGTTACATTAATTCGCATTTTTGGTGACGAACCCCGCGGTTTTGCCCGTTCCAAGTGACACACGTGCTCCTTTTTTTCCCTCTCATTTTTTGCATAGCCTTTGAAAATATTTCGTTGAAAAAAAAATTGGACAGATTCACCGCTTTGACAGGTTCCGATTACCTTAAAAATATAATAAACGGCCAAGCGCTTTGCGTCTACATGATGAATTGATCAACTTGCGGGACTGGTCGAAAAATTGGCTTTTACTGAAAAAAAAAAAACAGTTTTTCTAACCAGTCTTCTCGTGATATTCGATCTACGACGAGGTAATTGCAATGATATTTCGAGCTGGCAATTAACAATACGTTAAAGCGATAAGAGGTTTGAGAGCGGTAATCTATCGATTTCTCTTTTTCATATCTCGCGATAAGAAAGCGAGTGCATTATCGTCGATCATCCCCCCTCCCCCCCTCAGTTTTTTGCCATTTGGCTCTTCCCTAATCATACTGATGGATTAGAGTCTTTTAGAAACCTGATAGGGATTAAATTGAGTGGCTATGCCACTCGCGCTGTCTAATTCACATTTGAGATCACTATGATTTGCGCGATAATTTATACTATAGCGCGGAGAAATCGTGATGAAAACATTAAATGAATGAATATTAAATCTGATACACGATATCACATTCCCTTTGGCATGAATTTCATTCAATTGTATGATGATATTTGTCGATAACAATTAAGTTGAAAGAATAATGTGACCAACATTTCTACGAAATATTATCAAACGACCACCAATCGAGTGATAATGGTCGTTAATGGATTTTCCAGTAGTGAGAGGGCCATAACTTCACACAGCTCCATCTTTCATTATAATTTTATATAATTATCCACCTACTTTTTGGTTAAAGATAGAACCATTCATATTTCTCAGTTATTTCAATGAAAAGCGAAGAAAAGGGACACATGCATTATTAATAAAGGGCTGACTTTTTACCTGAATGCTGCACTCCCGGGCGCGCGGACAATTAGAAAGTAGGTACGCAAGCGAGAAATTAAGCTGCCTATTTCGTCTGCTCGTGCCATAATCAGAAATTGCCACAGTCAGGCGGAAACCGTTTATTGTAATTCGCCTGGTAATTCGTAACTAATTCCGCAAAATCGCCATGAGCACAAAGAGCTGCGGCAACGTTTCGACGAGAGAGCTCTCTCTTGCCTAACGAAACCTCGTTTACCGCGGCAGAGACGATCACTACGCGTTACAGCGCGCTAAATAAACGCGTTGAATTCGTGCATTCGAAGCGAGCCGATAATTAGACCACTCTCAGACAGACACGGTAATTATTTGCAATATTTATGTTATGTTATGCTGTTTGCAGTTAGACGTTGCGTTTTATAAGAATTTTCTCCAATTATCCGTAATCAAAGTCGGAAACTCAAAATCCATAAAGAAATTACGATAACATTTTTCGTAAAGATAACATTTTCCATTAATCGTGTCAATTAAACGATTATCTTGTTTATTTTTCATTAAATGAGAAGAGAGAGAGAGTTAGAACCTATCCATTTACGTATAAAATTGTGAAAATCCGGCGAAATTGAACATCGATTAAACTCACGAATTTCTCGGTCAAGCAAAAAAAAAAGATAGAGAGATAGGGGACTATTGATATATCTATTTGCGCCAAAGCGAACCTGATAGATTTATCCTGCCAAACGGAAGCGATATATATTTGATAAACTAACACGGAAGATGGAGCGATATCCAATAAGCCTCAAGATCGCTCGGCAATTCGGTCGTCGTGTGGAGAACGATAAGATATATCTCGTTTCCTTTGTAAAATAGTCATGTAAAGGCAATCGTGGTAAAATATTGGTAAAATAAATCTCTCCAGATGTATGTCACGCATAATTTTTTCAATACTATACGGACGGCATTTGTGTTTATTCGCAAGTGAAAACTGGAAGTTTTAGACAGTGACAAAACCGAGATGTAATCTCGTACGTTACACGTGGTTTAGAGTTAATAAAGTGCAACGAGATAATTCTGTCGC